GAATAGTCAGCATGGATTCACAAAGGGCAAGTCATGCCTGACCAAACTTATTCGCTTCTATGATGAGGTAACTGGCTCTGTAGATATGGGAAAGTCAGTGGATGTGATATAATTTGACTTTAGCAAAGCTGTTGATACAGTCTCCCACAATATTCTTGCCAGCAAGTTAAGGGAATATGGATTGGATAAATGGAGGGTAAGATGGATAAAATCTGGCTAGAAAGTCGGGCACAGCAGATAGTGATCAACAGCTCAGTTGGCAGTCGATTTCTAGCGTGCTGGTTCTAGGACCAGTTTTGTTCAATATCTTTATTAATGACCTGGATGAGGGGATGGATTGCACCCTCAGCAAGTTTGCAGATGACACTAAGCTGGAGGAGAGGTAGATACGCTGGAGGGCAGGGATAGGGTCCAGAATGACCTAGACAAATTGGAGGATTGGGCCAAAAGAAATCTGATGAGGTTCAACAAGGACAAGTGCAGAATTCTGCACTTGGGACAGAAGAATCCCAAGCATTGTTACAGGCTGGAGATCGAATGGCTAAGTAGGAGTTCTGCAGAAAAGGACCTGGGGATTACAGTGGACGAGAAGCTGCATATGAATCAACAGTGTGCTCTTGTAGCCAAGAAGGCTACTGGCATGTTAGGTTGCATTAAGAGGAGCATTGCCAGCAGATCCAGAGATGTCATTATTCCCCTTTATTCAGCTTTGGTGAGGCCACATCTGGAATATTGTGTCTAGTTCTGTGCCCCCAGCTACAGGAAGGATGTGGACGCACTGAAGAGGGTCCAGCGGAGGGCAACCAAAATGATTAGGGGGCTGGAGAACCTATGAGGAGAGGCTGAGGGATTTGGGTTTGTTTAGTCTGCAGAAGAGAAGTGTGAGGGGGGATTTGATAGCAGCCTTCAACTTCCTGAAGGGAGGTTGCAAAGAGGCTGGAGAAACCCTTTTCACAGTGGTGAGGGATGGCAGAACAAGGAGCAGTGGTCTCAAGTTACACTGGGGGAGGTCTAGGTTGTATATTAGAAAGAACTATTTCCCTAGAAGGGTGGTGAAGCACTGGGATGGGTTTCGTAGCAAAGTGGTGGAATCTCCATCCCTAGAGGTTTTTAAGTTTTGGCTTGACAAAGCCCTGGCTGGGTTGATTTAGTTGGGATTGGTCCTGCTGTGGGCAGGGGGCTGGAATTGATGACCTCCTGAAGTTTCTTACAGCTCTATGGTTCAATGATTCTAATGTCACTTGGAACAGACTCTCTCCCCACCCTCCATGAGTCCTGATCTGCTCTGATTTCACTCCCTGCGCAGGGTTTCCCGTTCCCAAACCTGACCTGATCACCCGGCTGGAACGAGGGGAAGAGCCCTGGGTGCCCGACCTCCAGGCCGGGGAGGAAGGAGAGATCCCGAGAGGCACCCGCACAGGTGACACAGAAATCCGCTGGTGAATGAAGGGAAAAGTTGTGGTGTGAGAGAGTCCTCTGTTCTTCCTACAGTCTTGCAGGGCAGGGCAGAGCTGTCATCAGCAGATGTCACTCAAAGCTGCAGGACAGGAGTTCTCTTCCCTGTGAGTGGTTGTGTGGGAAGCGGAGGGACAAGCCAAATGCTGGGTCTGTACAACTCCAGTGTGTTGGGTTTTCCCTTGATTCTGTTCCTCTTTCTTCCCAGCTCAATGACTCCAGCCTGGATTGTCTCTCTCTCCCAGCAGGTGATGAAACCGTGAGTGTCAAGGAGGAAGAGGATCCCCATCAGGAAGTTGACGTAGTGCGTGTGAAGGTGGAAGAGACTCAATATGAGGACGTTCCTGGGAAGATAGAACCGCAGGCGACCTTTGTGGGAAGAGCTGAAGGGAATGTTTCCCAGTGCTTGGAACAGGGAGAGGCCTGGGGAAACTGGCCCAGGCCGGAGAGGCTGCTGGGAAACCTCCCATGTGAACAAATGGACAAATCTATTCAATGTGGGGAAGGACACAAGCATCCAACAGCCCAGCAGACAAACCCCAAGGAAGAGAAACACCAGGAATGGTTCAGTTATGGGAAGGGATTTATTGTGAGCCCAGAGCTTATTACAATTCAGAAAGTAGATACTGGAAAGAAACCCCTTGATTGTTTGGACCGCGAGGAAAGCGTCAATAACAGCTCAGATCTTAATACTGATGGGAGAAGCCAAAGTGAAGAGAGAGGCTCTCAGTGCCCTGAGGGAGGAAACGATTTGAATTGGAAGCCTGCCCTGATTGTGCATCAGAGAAGTCACACAGATAGACATCATAAGTGCTTAGACTGTGGTAAAAGTTTCTTAGAGATGTCAGCCCTGATTAAACACCAGGCAATGCACACAGGAGACAGGCCCCATAAATGTTTAGATTGTGGGAAAGGTTTCATATGGAGGTCCTCCCTTGTTTTACATCAGAAAATCCACACAGGAGAGAGACCCCATAAGTGCTTAGACTGTGGGAAAAGTTTCATACAAAGATCAGACCTCATGAATCATCAAGCAACCCACCGGGAAGACAGACCCCATGAGTGTTTAGATTGTGGAAAAAGTTTCAAATGGAGGTCAGCCTTTGTTTCACATAAAAAAATCCACACCGCAGAGAGATCCCATAAGTGCTTGGACTGTGGAAAAAGTTTTCTATGGAGATCATTCCTAGTTTCACATCAGGCAGTCCACACTGGAGAGAGACCCCATGTATGCTTAGAATGTGGGAAAAGTTTCAAACGCAAGTCTGAGCTTGTGAAACATCAGGCAATCCACACAGGAAAGAGACCCCATAAGTGCTTAGACTGTGGGAAAAACTTCATACATAGAGCAGACCTGAGTAAACATCAGGCAATCCATAGAGGAGACCGACCCCATCAGTGCTTGGACTGTGGAAAATGTTTCATATGGAGGTCAGCCCTCGTTTCGCATCAGAAAATCCACACAGCAGAGAGACCCCATAACTGCTTAGGCAGACCCCATAAGTGTGTGGACTGCGGGAAAAGTTTCATTCGTAGGTCAGACCTTGTTAGACATCAGGCCATCCACATGGGGCAAATAAGCGCTTGAAATGTGGGGAGAGTTTCATAGAGAGGTCAGCCCTTCTTAAACATCTGTGCGTCCACCAAGGAGAGAGGCCCCCTACGTTTCTGGACTGTGACAAACATTTCATGTGGAGGTCAGACCTTATTAAATATCAGGCAATCCACACAGGAGACAAGCCCCTGTAAGTGCGTGGACTGCAGGAAAAGTTTCATAGATAGGTCAGACCATATTAAACAGGCAATCCACACAGGAGAGATGGTGTTCACATGTTGGGTCTGTGGGAAAAAATGAAACCGATCGGCCTTCTTAAACATCAGGCAAGCCACACTGGAGAGAGACCCCCTAAGTGCTTCCGTCAGGAAGTGGAACTGGGGGTAGGGGCGGCCCTAGACTAGCTGCCAGCAACTGGCGCCCTAGCCAAACCATGCAATCGGCACCCCCAGCTCCAAACCCCTCAAAGATATTGCGCCACCATTTAGCGCCCCATTTAACTTGGCACCCTAGGTGACCGCCTGGTTCACCTATATGGACGTGCCGCCCCTAATGGGGGGTTCGGGGGGACAGAGCTCTGGATCTGCCCCCTGAATTTTGTGCCAGTTTCTCCTCACCCAGGCTGAACTCTGAACTACAACGCAGCCTGCGAGTGTGGTATGTGATGAATTCGGAAGCTGGGAGCAGCAGTGGTGGGGCGGGTTCTGGAGGAGGAAGGAGACGCGCCGAGCGGGGTGTGGGGGAGCAGAGCCTGGCTAGAGGCGGGGCGGTTGTGTCGTGATGGGCAGGGGCTGCGAACACCAAACGGCTCAGCTCCAGGTCCGGCACGTGGTCTGGAGCCCAGGCTGCAGGGACTTCTGGGGCCCGATCACAGCAGACTCCAGTCCTGCAAACTGGAAGGCAGAAGAGAAGGGAGGGGAAGGAGGAAGGGGCTTGTGCTGATGGGAGGGAGGCAGGTCAGAAGAAGAAAGGGGAAGGCACCAAGAGACAGGGTGGAGGAGACACACATGCCGGGGTGAGGGGGGACGACAAGTGGAGACAATGAGGAAAAGGGCAGGAGGGGCGGTGTCACTGGGACGGGGGACGGGGTGATGCTGGGAGAGGAGAGGGGAAGGGCATTGGGGGATGGGGAGAGGTGCTGGGAGAAGGCTTGAAGGAAGGGGTGGGCATGAGGAAGGCGGGGATGGAGCAAGTCGTGTGAGGGCATAGGCATATGAGTGGAACGGGGCAGAGGGTGGTGAGGGGGTGGGCATCAAGGAAAAAGGGGGCAGGGGCAGTGAGGGAAGGGGGAGGCACCAGGAGGGTGCAGGTGCCAGTGGATTCTGGGGGTGAAGCAGAAGGGCAGACACCTGCCGGGGAGGGACCACCACCAGAGGAGAGAGGCAGGGCAGGTGTGTAGAGGGAGGTGTTAGGAGGGGGATGAGGAGGGGTAGCTCACATGATCAGAGGGGCTACTGGGAAAGTGGGCACAGGGGCGACGCCTTTTTTTTTATTTTTTCTCCAAAGGGGGGCACTGTGAAATTGTGCTGCCCTGGGTCCCGCAAAACTCTCATCTGCCCCTGGTTGCGGGGGTGGAGGAAGGAGTCAGCCGCTGTCCGATTGTGGCAACCTGGCCCCAATCCCAGGAGAGACACAGCAGTCTGGCTCCCCTCTAGCCCCCCCTCCTGCCGCCGGCGGGGTTTGACA